CCTGCCTGGCCAAACTAAGCCACAGCGCTGCTCCAAGGTTTGCTCCCGTGGTCACAGACCCAGCTCCATGCTGGGTCTTCAGCACCACCACTGGAAGCCACAGCAGCCACCAAGGAGGTGAGCCAGGTGAGGTGGTGTGGCTGCTGGTCTGCACACTTGTTTTAGCAGCAAGAGTTAGTGAAGTGCTGATTTCCCACCCTGTGGGCCCTCTCTGCTGACCTTGGCTTTGGGGGTGATGGAAGAAGCCAAAGAACATGTTTGTTTTTTTTTTTTTGTTTTCTTTTCTTTTGTTTTGTTTTGTTTTTTCCCCTCCATAAGTGCAGCAAAGACGACTGAATAAGTGCAGAAAAGACGACTGAAGCTGAAGAACCTGCTAGGTGGCTTTGGGGTAGGTCATCGGAAACCTTCCAAGAGCTGGCCAACTCCTCTTCCTGCAAGGTCAAAGCATCCCAATGGAGAAGGTTAATCCTGCAGTAGGATGAGGACCAAAACTCAAGCCCATGGTGGTGGGGAGATGGTCTCTGCCTTGCAGAGTGATGTTGCCCTCTTGCAGCCACCACTGGGACAGGCAGTGGGGAACAGCTCAAGGAAGGAACATCTGAAGGATGCAGGTGGTGGCTCCGGAGCTTGATACACAGAGCTTCCAACTCATTACCTTTGCTGTAGAAAAGTCCTTGAGGCTTAGCTGAGAAATGAAAATATCAGTCCTTCCTTTGTCACGGGGAATAGAAACAGAAGGTGAAGTGAGGTATCTGGACTGATTTTCAGTCAATGATTGCTCTCTGCTGTGGCAGACATTACTGTCCAGATAAAAAGCAGATTAAAGACATGAATCAAATTTTCTTGAGGCATTTTATGTGCAATGATTTTAAGTTAGAACGCAAATATAGTCTGGGACCAAACTGAGGCTCGGTAAAGAGAAGGAAAATGTGCTAGTGAGTAATCATTAATAGGCACTGACTAGGAGTAAATGCCAGTGAGCCAGGTTCTGGTCTTGGTCACGGTGGGTTATCTGGAGTAGTGCTGCTCAGCTGGTGTCAGCAGGGTGACACCAAATTGCTCTCGTGTATGCAAGATCAACTAGTGGACTTAGAAAGAAGTCTCCAAGATGACCCCTAGCAGCTAGATATGATGAACAGAATAGGGTAAAGTTGACAACAGATAGCACAGAGATGAAATGTTCTGTTTTGCATGCTTATTGGCTTCCCAAAGCTTTCTGGGGTCCACCAGTGCCATGTTTGGCAGCGACTGGCTCTTTGTTGTGCAAGCTGTTTCGGTTATGCCAGCTGCATGATTTGATGACAGCTAATAAGCAAAGCTTTGCTGAAATATTCTCTGAAGACTTTGCTTTGCCATCAAAATCCTCATCAGCAATTGGATTAACTGTAGGAAATGAACAGCTACAACACAAGATAGTGAATTATGTTAAGACAAATTGGTGGGTTTTATTTAATCACATGGTCTGGGTTTTGATAGTATTTTTCCTATGGAGTTAAATACATCACTGAACCTGTGGGTACAAGAAAAAATACTAAAAAATAGTTAATTTCATTGACTAGTGCCTAAAATAAGAAAGATTAACTTTCTATATCAAAAAGACCTACAGAGTTGGGCTCTTACTTTAGGTTATGTTGGCTCTGTATGGGCCATGCATGCCCTCCCGCCCAAACATCAGAGACAAAGTTTGTATTTTCTGGACCACAGGGAAAGGTATGACCAAGTCCTTTGCCAAGATTGTCAGCATGGGAGTAAAAAATCAGGTCAAAAGCCCTTGTGATATATGTTCATCTGATTCGTGTCAGTATGGAACAGTGCTAGGGCCGCATGGTATGATGAATGTGACCTTCTGTCTTACATACCCTTGTATAACCACAAGTCTAAGAAAAACAGAATGGTTAATGTATATAGTTCTTGTACCTTGCAAAGGAATTCGTGTCGCTGGAGAGCAGTTCTGTCTGTCTCTGGGTCCTGCACTGGCAATTTAATTCTTCCACAGATGTGGTTTCTTCCCTTTCCTCCCAGTGTCCCAGTCTCCCCTTCATTATAGTCAAATCTTCAGAAATATTCCTCAAATCCATGAGCCTATTTGCTTTTGTTATTCCGAACTCTTATTCCTAACAGTTACAGCTTTTTTGCCTTCTTTGTGGTTGATTTAGCACTGCTATAGATGTGACTGGAGTGTCCCTGTGAATGGCCTGTGAGGAATGTTTTAACTACTCTCTATTGAAGTGTCAATAGAGAGCTATTTGTATTTGTATGTTCTTTCTTTGAAGTCTTTGATGTCTGGGGGTTTCATAACAACTGCTAACAACTAGTAACTGTTATGGCTTCTGAATGGGACACTATGCAAGCCCCTGATATCTGGCCAGGTGGCCAGGAGATTAAGGAGAAGAAAGAAAGAAGCTGAAGGACGGCTAGAAGACAAAACTTGCAGGGGACTTGCAGGGGACGCTGTGTAAGCTTTTGACATGCTGCCAAGGCGTACAAAGGGGAAGGACAAGAAAAAAAACTTGAGAGGAAGACTATGAGCCTTCAGCATGAAAGACCCCCAGAGACCCCTAGGGGGACTGATGTGCATGCTCCAGTAGGAGGGTTTGGATCCTGGAAGCTACTTATAATAACCCAGGGTTTTTTTAGAAGTAGTAATGAATATGTATTAGCCTAGGAGCATAAAAATCAGCTACTTGATGTAACCGGTGTGCGTCCTGGTGGAGCGGAGACTCCCAGCGCAACCAGCACTGTTTGCTTACCTTTATTCCTTTAATAAATTGTAAACTTTGATTATAATCCTAATTTGGGACTGAGCGATTTATAACACCCTGACAACATGATCTGCCCACCCTGTGCCCTCTGGTCATCATGGCTCTGGCATCAAAGATCCTGTAGACATTTTGCTAAATCAGACTAAGGTTTCCCCAGACACAATAAAAGGCTGAAAATCCTTGGGTAATGTGGCACCAGGCATCAAGAGAAGCCAGAGACGCAAAGGATGAGAGACTGGCTTTTTATAGTTTTATTATGTGCTGCAAAATTTGGCTCAGTAAATGTGTGGTGAAATATCTCTCAGCTTGTGTTTTGTCTGACGTACAACTAAACTGCTGCTCCACAGCACAGGCTGGTCTCTTTGGGTGAGCAGTGGGATTAGCACTTTAACTTCCTCTTGCACTTTTTCTTCAGGCCCCATGAAGTCCTGAAGGTGTTAAATCTGTCACCCATCACTTGTTGCAGCTGTTTTCCATTGGGAGGAGCAGAGGCCTCCCAGGTTGAGCTATTCATCCTGAGTGGCTCTGCAAGTGCCCAACAAACACAAGAGTTAAGAGGCCATCTCCCTGTGGTTGTGGTATTGCCCAGATGGAGCAATGAGCCAGGGCAGCATAGTTCCCCATTTTATTATTCATCCTTTACCCGGGAACTGGGGCCAGGCCTAGGGCTGCCAAAATAACCTGCAGTAGGGGGGGGACAGGGTATGCAAACATCTCTTGGATCAGGGTTAGTAGCTCTGTCATTCAGGAATGGTGGGTCTGATCCCACCTCCTCTGGTTTTAATTAATAGTGTAGTGGAATCATGCCATTATCTGACACCATGAGAAATCACCTTCAGAAGCTCTGCTGCTGGTGGCACATGCATTTGTTCCCCATTGCCTCTCTCAGGGGAGCACTATGGAGGATTAGTTTGCATTTAAGAGACGTCGTGTATAATTACTTATGCACTGTTTTTCAAATCTTTCATTTCTTCTAGATCCTCTCCTGTTCTTTCTTCTGCTGGCATGTGGCTTTCTTTGTGCACCTTCTGTTATCATAAGGATGTGAACAGAAAGTGCTTGGGGCTCCCTGAGCTCCTGTACTGGACTGGCCCAGCCCACGGATGGAAAGGAGATGGAAGAAGAAGGGATCTGGGACAAGCAGGCATCATCTGCACACCTGGCCTGTGTCTTGGGATGACACTCAGTGGTGCTGTTACACCTCGATATTTTGTGCCAGCCCCAAAGATTAAGAAAATTATAGGAGTTTCCTTCCTAAAAGGAAGATGAGGAGTTCAAACAAGTGCATAAAAAGGCAGGTGTCCTATCCTGGGGCTGATACTCAGCAAAGAGCCATCTCTAATGAGGAGTCTCATCCTTCAGTGCTGAGCTGCCTCTCTCCTTAGTTTAAGAGCCAAAAGTTTTGCTGTGGTGCCTGGAACTGCTCTGGGAATGTAGGAATTAATGTGCCGGGTTGGGCCACGGGTCCATCCAAGCAAGGATCTTGAGGGAGATGAAAGTCAGCGTCAGATGTTTGCAAAAAGCCTCCAGCACGGATATCTTTCACACCTCATTTCTTCCTCATCCCCACCAGCCTCATGGCTGATCTCACAGCATCTTGCGTCGCATTTTCCACAGCCACTCTCTCCATTACCTGATGAGGACAGGCTGCTGGAAAGGGTCTGAGCAAAGAAAAAACTATTAGTCAAAATCATAGCCCCTGTTCTCAGGGGAGGAAGGTGACCTGTCCATGTCCTGCAGTCACCGAGAGACACTTTCTCAGGACAGAGATTATTTCCATGCCTTTTTAGGGTTTAGACAGGCAAAGAAATACTTTGAATTGCATGAAAAGTCAGCAACTTTTGAAAACTTCTGTGGGCTGTTAACCTACAGAAACACATTTTAGACAACATATTTTTCCTTCCCTAAAATGTTGAGCCTTTTGTTCCTTTTCTCTTTAAGACAGGCAAACCAAAACAAGCTGAAATTTTCCATCAGCATACACTTTAGTTCAGAGCCAAAAAGCTACTGTGAACACAAACCCATGTTTTGGTTCCAATGTTTTTTGGAGGAAAAAACTATTAGTCAAAATCAATTACTTTTTTTTCCCTGAGTAATCAACATTAGCCGACCTGCTCTTTTTCCCTGCCTTTTGGCAGAGACAAACAAACAGCTGTTTGCATAAAAATTGTTCTGGATCTGCAACTGGGTGCCTCGGCCACTGCCGGCCCTGGTGACAGCCATGCTCTTCTCTTCCAGGTACTCCTTTTCAAAGGTCTCAGCATCCCCATGCTACCTCCTGCCAGCACTTCCACCTGGGGCCCCAGCCTCAGCTCTCGGCCGACGTCTCCCTGCCTTATGCAGTGCAGCCCCAGCCAGGGCTGACCCCCCACATGGCCCCCACGCACCAGCACAGTGGCCCCCTGCACCAGTCCCTGGCACCAGTGCCAGCCCTGCCCTTCCAAGATGTGGCTGGACCCTCCTTCCTACCTCAGGCGCTACACCAGCAATACCTCCTCCAGCAGCAGCTCCTCGAGGCCCAGCATCGCCGTCTCATGCCCCATCCCAGGTAAGGGGGCTTATGTTTCACAGGTATGGTCTGAAGGAGTCGCAGAACCAGAGAATGGGTTGGGTTGGAAAGAACCTCTAAAGACTGTCCAGTCTGACCCCTTGCCACAAGCAGGGACACCTCCCACCAGATCAGGTTGTCCAAAGCCCTGTCCAGCCTGACCTTGAGCACCTCCAGGGATGGGACATCCCACATCTGGGATGCTGAGAAGCTGTAAGGCTCAATTTTGCAAAGCAACTTCTGCAAAGCCCTGTTAAAACTTGCTGATAACATTAAATTCTCTTCCTAAGTTCACCTGTGTTCTCCCCAAACGCATCCACCAGGAGGCTGCAGGCCAGGGTGCACCAGGGGGTGTACCCTTCCCGTGGGAATCCACGCCGTGCTGACCTAGCACACCCCAAGGTCACCTAGTGCCATCACTCATAGGAGAATCACAGCATAACATCCTGGGGTGGCAGTGAACCTATCCTGCATCACAGAGAGAGCCAGACTTCATGCATGAGCTGCTGCTTCAAAACCAAGTAAGAGATGAGATCCACTTGCCCCACTGGGTTTTGCACATGCAGAGCTTGCTCCTCTGCATCTAGGTATGCTTCCCAGCTGTGATCCAGCTCTGTGAAGTGAGATGGAATAAAGCCATTGATTTATAACACATTCAATTAAGAAAAACAGCCTAAATTCAGACAGGGCTGATGACTGCAGAGAGAATTACTGCAGCTCAGCAGAGGTGGGAATGGACACCCAGCCTCATCCTGTTAGTGTTTGTTGAGAGAGGGGTTCAGATAACATGTAGGAGCAGAGTGCTTTTTTTGGAAACATATGGAAACTGTTTGTGGGTTATACCCGTGCACCAGGAACCAAAAGATGAGTCTTTGTGATAATGCTTCATATGGAAAGAATGCTACAGATGGAAAATGCTTTCTTTCCATATCCTTTCTGTCTGCAAATTGCGGATTCTTCTCATCCAGCTTTTATTTTGCATAAGCTGGATTTTAGGTGGATTTAACGATTAGTTAATAATTGGGTAGCAAATATGTGTGAGGCTGAGGCACTGATGATACAAGTGTTTATCGCTTAGTCATAAGCCAAAATCAAACAAAACTACAGAGCGCAATTTCACATAGAAACTACTTTAGTACCTGCTGGTGGTGTTACATACGCAAGTAGGTTGTCAGAGAAGAGGGACTGTGGTGTGGGAGAGGGCAGGAGCCTCTTGCTCAGCACCACAGCCTGGTTCTGAAAGCATTCAGTACAGCTGCATCGCAGGAGGCTGTCAGAAACCTTCGGGCATGGGGCATGAGGTCCTGGTAATGGGAATCTGGGGGTGCCTTAAAGGTGAAGCCTCTTTATCTAACAGCTTCCTGACATGTTTGTCCAGTGTTTTCCAATGGATTTACTTTGTGATAGCTCTGCCGGTGAGCGGGGGATTCAGCAGGGAGCATGGGTTCTGAGTCTGTAATGCAAAGCCTGCTTGGGCATCCACCTTGCATCTCTCCAAGCACATATGGTGATCAAGAATGCTCCTCCCCTGAGTGGAGGGTAGTTCAAAAATGCAGGAGGAAACTTTAGTCCCTAGTCACTCTTTTTTTCTACTACTTACCTCTCCCTGCTCACAAGGGCAGCTGGAGCAGAAGAAGCTGGGTCCCAGGCTGGCATGTCCATCACCCACAGAAATGTTGTCAAAGGCCAGCAAGAGTAAATTCTGCCATCAGTTACTCCTGAGTAATACTGTTATGAATGAGGTTCCCCAGGAATTTATGGACTGCACAGGGAGACGAGACAACCTGCTGCTTCTTCATGATGATAGATAACACCCACACCAGGAAGATGCTACATCTTGTCTGTTGTTTATGGGGCTGACTGTGGAAAAAAAATAAAATAGTGAAAGAGTCACAAAGATGCTAAGGAAGAAGTTTAGTTCCCTTTTTTTTTTTTTTTTTTCTTTCTCCTCGTTGCCACCAAATAGCAGCTCCTGTAAATTGAGCACACATGGATGCTGCAGGGGGTGCAAGTGGAGTTCTGCATCCTGTCTGTGGTGACCAAGAGTAAATGCCATAGCTCTGTGTTCCTCTTCCCATCATCCTTGACACCTGTCTGGGCTCTTCTGTCTTGGATGCATGCTCGTGAACCCAAATGTTTGGGTTTTACCATCGTTTACTGATGTGGGCACGTGCTCAGTGCCCGCCCATCGCTAACTCCTGGTCTCCTCCTCCCTGCAGGCGGGCTCAGGAGCGCTTGTCTGTTCAGCCCCACCGTCTGCACCTCAGCTTTGACTTCAGCCACCAATTGCAAACTCCACAGCCCATGGGGTCCCAGCCCAGGTATTTAGCCGAAGGCACGGACTGGTAAGTCTTCTTCATTTCCCCAGTGTGTTGAATGAAGCACTTAAAAAGTCTTGTGGAAGCTGCAGTGGTTTGCAAATGCCTTCATGGCTCAATGCTTCCATGAAAGCTGGTGGTTCAGTACAACGGATATAAAGTGAGGAGTGTACAATGGGGAAACTCATCCCTGAGAGCCACAAGTCCATGTTAAAGCATTTATGCATGTGTACAATAACATCAAGGCCCAATATAACAATATTGCCCAAAGCTCTCCATCCATGGATGCAGAGTGCATCTAAACCTTAATATTCCCCAGGGGCTTGCCATGCTGCAGCCTCCAGGGAAGCACCTTCCAGAGTCTGTTTCCTATAGACCAACTTCTCTGTCTGAATGAGACCTTCTGCTGTCCACCAGGCACTCAAAAACAGTGTCCACAACTCTTCCATGGCCTAAATTAGGGGAATTAGGGGGCACAGAGCTGCCCTGCCCCACAGGGTGAGGTAAATGAATTAGTAGCATGTTAATCGTTCTCTCATCACAGTGTTTGATGCCCTGGAAAAGCTGAGCAAAGCATTGATTGCTCTGTTTTCAGAGCAAGTTTTGAGCTCCTGCACATTTAATAAGGCACGGGGCCCTACTTGGAAGAACAGAAGAATAAAAACATATTTCTGAGTAGCTCCTTGTTAGCAGAGCAAAGTCCATTCTGTGCATTGAATGGAAAAAACAGCATGTGGACATGTAATTAGAGACAATCATAATGTGTATGCACAAGGGGACCAAAATAAAATGGCACAGAAAATCTTAATTATGGCATTTTCTTACATCTGAGTGGTTTGCTCTGCAAATTGAGAGTTCTTTTAACACATTTTTTTCCTCCTCTGTGGTAATGATATACAACTTAAAATATGGCCAGATTCTTCTGTCATTTTCTTCTCAGGTGTTCCCACTGCTGGTACTACCATGAGGTGAATTTGGCCGGTGTGAAATTGTTCAGATCAGGTTGCAAAGCGGCTCGTGTTCCATCTGGATAGAGCTGTTCTTTCTGCCTCTCTTTCTGTGCATACAGTTTAATTATAATCATTAGAAGGATCCAATAAAGCATCATTTAATCTTCCTTTCCTCCTCCCTCCTTTTTGCCCTGTGTTGTTGCATTGCCTTACAAAACCTAAGGAGTGGGTACACCAGAAATCACATACCGTATATACATATTTGGGTGACTCACTTCCCCTTGGGGCACATGTATAGTTTTTCCCAGTAACAGATATAAAAACTTTCCTCTAATGTGTTATCACCACATGAGCAGTGACAGCGCTCACTCAGAGGCAGGGGATAGCAGGCAGCATTGTGGGAAGCAGGGATGGAAGCTGGGGCCGAAGGTGATCGGTTATCTTGGACAGCCAAGCCTTGGTTAAAATCTGGTGAAGGAGAAAAAATCTCCCTTTAGTTCCATCGCTTGTTTTCTGCATAGGCATTTGTTGATGACTATTCAGCCTGTTTTCTTGCCCTTATCCCTCAGTTTTTGGTTGTTGGCAGCCCATGTACTGTAGGCATTGCAGTTCTTGAACCTCACATCTGAACATCAAGATGCTGTACAGGCATACCTGTAGCACAAGGTAGAAGGTGATGGTTAGTTTGGGTTTTCTTCAGCTAATGTGCTCTGGTTGTTCATCCCCAAACCCTGGGAAAACACCATTCCATGAAGTATTCTGCTTTTGGCAGGCATTAGGAGGCTTTAGGAGCCTCTGTATTGGGTTTTAAGGATCCAGTTGCACCACTGCACAAACAGTTCAGCAGTGCTGTTGTTGCAATTACTTGTGTAAGTTAATAATGCCCATTCTTCTTTGTGAAATCCCTTCAACCCCTGGTCTCAAAGCTCTCTGTGGATTATAACATCTGTTTTGCAAGCAGGGAATATGAGCAGGCAGAGAGGAGATGACTGGGGTCGTACATCAGGCCAGTGGCAGGGCTGGGATGAACCCAACATCTCCTGATTTCCAATCGAGCCTTCTATCTACCGGGGAACCATCTCAAGCAACTGGATAAATCTCCAAAAATGTGATACGAGAGCTGGAAAATGCCCGGTCCTGTGGATTCCCACCCTGGCTGTGTTCCTGCCTGTCTCCTGCTGTGTTTTATCCTCTGCCAGGTTTGGTCAGTCCAGGATATGGCTAGCACGCAGCCAGCACACAGCCAGTAAAGACAGACCCTCTCTTTGCTCCAATTTGATGTGGGGGGACTTATTAGAGCGCATGTAAGCATTGGAGTTATTACCTAGTACACAGGCCATGCTGGATAAGGGATTTTTGCATTTAGAATCATAGAATAAAATTTACTGTCCTCTCATATCCATTAACTGCTGATGGGCAAACTGCTGTTGTTTCACAGCTGCTCCAGGACACATCTGGGTTGCTCCTAACAAGCTGTGGCATTTACTGCTGCTGTCCTCTGTGGAAAGAAAAAGAACTTCAGGCCGAAATGAGGAGCAACCCTTGTGCTCTAATTAGTTTTGCTTTGACAAATGCGAATACAATAGTTATCAGAGCGCTGGCTTTTGTAATTACAATAAAGTGAATGACATTCAAAGCACTTGTTTGCTGAGAAACTCAGTGGCTGGAGAGACAAGGGAGCAGCTAATTGGATTACAGACAGATATATAATGGATAGATGCTGTGCTAGGTCTCCTCCCATCCCATCCATACAGGGCTGGAATGGCGGTTCCGCTCGAGTGGGCAGCCGAGCTCCACCACAGCTGCTCTCTCACTCCCCCTCCTCAAAGAGGAACGGGGAGAAAATACGATGAAAAGGGCTCAAAGGTTGAGATAAGGACGAGAAAATCATGCAATAATTATTGTAATGGGCAAAACAAACTTGGCATAAGGAGATAGTAAGATTTATTGCCTATTACTAACAAGCTAGAGAAGTGAGAAACAAAGGAAAGAAACCAAAAGCACCTTCCCCCCCCCATCCACCCTCTTCCACCTCCTCCCCCCGAGCGGCGCAGGGGAACGGGGGAATGGGGTTTATGGTCAGTCTAACAGCGCTTCTCTGCCACTCCTTCTCGGTCACTCTCGTCCCCTGTGCTGTGGGGTCCCACCCATGGGACGCAGTCCTTGATGAACTGATCCGGCATGGGCTTCCCACAGGCAGCAGCTCTTCCAGAACTGCTCCAGATATGGGTCCGTACCACGGGGTCCATCCCTCAGGAGCAAACTGCTCCAACCTGGGTCCCCCATGGGCAGCAGCTCCTGCCAGGTCACCTGCTCCTGCGTGGTCTCCTCTCCACGGGCTACAGGTCCGGCCCGGAATCTACTCCGGGAAGGGTCTTCCACAGGCAGCAGCCTCCGTCGGTGCAGGGCCACCTGCTCTACCCTGGTCTCCTCCACGGTCTGCAGCGTGGAACCCTGCTCCACCGTGGTACTCCATGGGCTGCAGGGGGACATCCTGCTTCACCATGGTCCTCACCACAGACCACAAGGGACTTCTGCTCCGGCGCCGGGAGCACCTCTCCCCCTCCTTCTGCACTGCCCTTGCTGCCTGCAAGGCTGTTCCTCACTCCCTTCACTCTCCCGGCTGCTGTGTGGTGCAGCATTTTTTTCCCTGTCTTAAATATGCTCTCACAGAGGTGCAAAACAACATCGCTTATTGGCTCGTGTCATGGTTTAACCCGGCCGGCAGCTAAACACCACACAGCCATTCGCTCACCCTCCCCCTCCCTCTCTGGGACGGGGGAGAGAAATGGAAAGTGAAGCCCGTGAGTTGAGATAAAGGCAGTTTAATAAGACAGGAAAATAACAATAACAATAACAATAACAATAACAATAACAATAACAATAACAATAACAATAACAATAACAATACAATGGTGATAATAGTACTACTACTAATAATATGTACAAACAAGTGATGCACAATGCAATTGCTCACCACCCGCTGACTGATGCCCAGCCTAACCCCGAGCAGTCCGGCCCCCTCCCCCCGGCTAGCCACCCCTAGATATTGTTTAGCATGACGTCAGATGGTATGGAATACCCCTTTGGCTAGTTTGGGTCACCTGTCCTGGGTCTGTCCCCTCCCAGCTCTTACTGCACCCCCAGCCTGCCTATTGGCAGGACAGAGCAAAAGGCTGAGATGTCCTTGGCTTGGTATAAGCATTGCTCTGCAACAATGGGTCCGTACCACGGGGTCCATACCTCAGGAGAAAACTGCTCCAACCTGGGTCCCCCACAGGCAGCAGCTCCTGCCAGGTCACCTGCTCCTGCGTGGTCTCCTCTCCACGGGCTACAGGTCCGGCCCGGAATCTGCTCCGGGAGGGGTCTTTCACAGGCGGCAGCCTCCATTGGTGCAGGGCCATCTGCTCCACTGTGGTCTCCTCCACGGGCTGCAGCGTGGAACCCTGCTCCACCGTGGTACTCCATGGACTGCAGGGGGACATCCTGCTTCACCATGGTCCTCACCACAGGCCGCAGGGGACTTCTGCTCCGGCGCCTGGAGCACCTCTCCCCCTCCTTCTGCACTGCCCTTGGTGCCTGCAAGGCCGTTCCTCACTCCTTTCACTCTCCCAGCTGCTGTGTGGCGCAGCATTTTTTTCCCTGTCTCAAATATGCTCTCACAGAGGCGCAAAACAACATCGCTTATTGGCTCGGCTCTGGAAAACAATGGGGCCCTTACCAAACATGGGGCAGCTTCTAGATACTTCTCACAGAAACCACCCCTATGGCCCCCTGCTACCAAAACCTTGCCACGTAAACCCACTACACCAGGTTGAGTTACTGAGCCTGGGGAACAATCAGAGCTCGCAAGACACTGCTCTGCACTTGGCAGTGTATATCCTACAGCTCTTGACCCCAGCTAGCACAAATGCTAAGTGGCATAAAATCAACCCCTTGCTCCTTCATTCTGCCTTGGTGGAGGGAAAGGTGATTGCTGAAATCCAAGGATTTCAAAGCAGAAGCATCACCTCAGGTTGAGACACCCATGGCAGCTCAGAGCACTCCCCTGCCATGAGCATGATTTATCATAGCCCGTACCATGCCACCAGGCAGCCACAGCTCCATCTTCCTCCTCGTGCCTGCAGGGACCTCAGTGTCGATGCAGGACTGACTCACGCCCAGTTCCAGGTTCGGCCAGTCCCTCAGCCCTATCAGCATTACTTGGCTACACCTCGGATGCAACATTTCCCCAGAAGCACATCCTTAACACAGATGGTAAGTGAAACTCTTTTACTGAGAAATGTTTTATGCATTGTCTGCCAGAAGGCAGTCAAAATAAATGCTACTATCTTTCTGTCACCTGTCTTCTGCAAATCCTACTTATCTCTGGCCATGGAAGGGAGTGCCTGAAAGGATAATGTTCCATCTTTGCACTCTGGATTAGAGAAAGGAAAGAAAAGCTTAGTTGCTCTGGAAAGATTTGGTCCATCACCTGCAGCGCACTCACAAGCTGGTCTGCAAAAACCTGGGAGACTCAACAATTATTAATAATAATGTTATTAATGCAGCAGTGAAATTAAGTTCCCAGGGCTCCCTGCATGCAGAAGGACTGGTGCTGGGTGGCACTTCCCGAAGATCACACCCAAAGACCATCCCTCATCACGTTTGCCATCTTCGTTGGCCTTGATGCCACCTATTAAAGTTGTGTGTGACCTGTGGCACAGGTGGAGCTGGGGTTTGATGTGAATATGGTCTGACCAGGGTCATTTGTTGGTCCTTCTCGTGGCAGGGAGCTGCATTTGGAGCTGAGCCACCCAGAGCCCCGCTCATCCTTAAAGCATCCTCAGAAATCCCATGAGGGTGCTCTTCCCTTGTGCCCATAGTCCGACCCTGACACCTGCACACTACAGCAAAGCTTTAAATACCAGAGCTTGGATGAAAAGTAATCAATGCATTTAAAAATGAAAATTAAATCTCTTTTTAAGCTAATCCATGTTGAGAGTTTGGAGTTGCAGTGTTATGGATGCTATAGGAATAATTATAACAGAGTTTATTTGACATTTTTCTAAGACATGCAAGTTTGTAGTTATTATTTATAGGAGATCTACTTATTTTTTTTTTAAGTTATTAATCTACTCATTTTTTGGTTATTAAAAGACTTCCATTGGGGAAGGTGTCAGTCTGCTCTTTCATTTTCAGTTTTTTTAAGCACTAAATTTAAATCAAGGTATACGAGGGATTTCTTTGTGCTAGCACAGGTGGCTCTCTTCTTGCAGGTTGTTCATGAAATCAGAAATTACCCTTATCCTCAGCTCCAGTTACTTGCTCTTCAGGGACTGAACCCAAGCAGGCACATGTTGGCTGTGCAGGAGAGCTATGAAGTATGTATCTTGGGAACTGCAATTATTAACTTTTTAAGCCCTGGGAATCCATGCAAGCTCTGGCATAAACTCATAAGACTGCCTTATGGTTTGGCAGTCACAGATGGGAATGAGATTGAGACCTGCAGCCATTTCAGTAATAACCACGAAGCAAAAGATGTTGGGTGGTTTAGTGAAAGATGTTTTATTCCAGAGTGCCTGGGTCTGGCTCTGGCTGACTCTGTCTCCCTTCATGGCTGTATACGAAGTCCTCCAGTTCTATGGGGTTTTGTTTTCTGACCTGCCAAACAGAGCTCAGACTCCACCCCAATTTCTGAAATATCCAGTATCCAGCTCTCAGCTCTGTGCCTTAAGTCCACAGCTATTGGCCCAAGAACCAGGTCTCAGATCCACCACTGAACCATGCCTGATTTGGGTTCAATGAGCATTTCCACCAAGGAAAGGGCAGGATGGAGCCTTGCTCCTTGGCAGGCAGACACTGGGATGGCGGGACCTTGTGCTCCTCCACCAATGCCTCCCATAAGCAATGCTGATTCCATTTTGCTGCTGTTCCCATGCTGCAGGAGCTGCTGCAGCTGGAGGACAGGCTGGGCAGCGTAAGCCGGGGTGCCATGCAGAACACCATTGAGAGGTTCACCTTCCCCCACAAGTACAAGAAGGTGAGCTCCCCAAAACCACAGCATGGCTGCCAGCTGCCTGTAGCTGGCCAAGGGTCGCGTGCATGGAAAGGACAGAAGGAAGGGCTTTGGTGGGTTGCGATCCTCAGGGTTGGCAAACTGGCAGCGCCAACTGAAATATTCCCCGAAATGGACCATGAAATCCAGAATTGGTGCTTTAACATCTTGTGGGACTCCTGGTTTGACGCAGTGGTGTAGCTCAGCTCCCTATTTCATGCTTCTAGGCTAGGAAGCTGCAGGCCAAATTTTCAAAAGGGTCTCAACCCTTCTCCCCCCATCTGCACCTGGTAAGAAAGTGCCCACACCAAGGGGGTTTATGCATGGAAACCCACCCCTTTCTGCATTCAGGTGACACCACAAGGGCACTTGCTCCGTGGTGTGGGGGGAGCTCGCCCTCCTTTCACTTTGCAAGGGGCATCTCCTCTGTTGGAGCTGAACTCTTGCCCTTAAGGAACCAGATGACAATTTTTGGGGTTGTGCTAATAGAAAATGGAAAAATTGCTCATTTGGGTAGAAATGTCATGTTTGTCATCCCCAGTAACAATAAGTATGTTGCATTGCCCACATTAGAAGGGACTCAACCCCTGCTGCACTTATCTCTGACCACATCTCCAGTAGATGCAGAAAAAAATATATTATTTGGAATGGGTGCATGGGGGGGAAAAGGACAGGAAGGAGCTGGCAGGCCAAGTGCTGACCCATGGTGCAGCATGGGACTAAGCCAGTGGCCAAGCTGGCATGGGGCACAGTGGTTGTTGCCCTTGCTGGCAGTGGTGACCCTACACATTTCGGAGTCTGCAGGAGAAGCACCCACCAAAGGAGACTGTGGGACCATCCCTGCAGCATGGAGGACTGAGGAGGTGGTGGGGTTGTGCTGGGGCAGCAGCGGACAGGCTGCTCCTTGGGGCATTGCCATCAGCCCCACTGCCCCCAGTTCTGGGAGGAGGTGTGTGGACCAGCAGCGTGCTGGTGGCATCCTCCTCCCCACTGGCTGTTTTGGCTGGGCTGGCTTCTCCAAGCTGGAAGATCTGACTGATAGATGAAGCTCTTATTATTTGCCTTCCTGCAACTACCAAGACTTGGTAGAGCATTAGAAAATCAAGTCCCAACAAAATTATGTCTTTAAACTTGCTGCAGAGAAGACCACAGGAGGGCAAAGCTGAACAAGAAGATGGAGAGAAGTTGGACACTGATGAGAAATGCACAATCTGTCTGTCCATGCTTGAAGATGGAGAAGACGTCAGGTATGATCCTTCTCTCTGCTCCACTGCCTCTCGGTGACATCTGAGTTGTGCTTATCCCAATAACACTGCTGTGCCTTGGTGGGGCTGTTATTGCAGGGTTTAGGAAAGCACATGCCTTTTAGTTGGACATTGGTATGGGCCATAGGCAGGAAGTGCAGGTGGGCAATTTTCACAGGATCTCCTGGGTTTGGAGCACCTACTTCAAAACCATGCTGTTGATTGTCCATATGTCCTAGGATAATGGGTGCCAGGCCTCAGACAGCCATCTGGAGCTCATGGACATCAATGTCTTGCCTTTACAGATGACCGAAGTATGATAAAATGGAGCCTGTGTGTCAAGTACAGAGGAATGTGGCTTGTGTCTGGGATGGAGCTGCTTTCTTATAGAATAAGTGAGATCTCTCAGCCTGAATGGTCACAGCAAGCCATCCTGGGTTACAGCACAACCCCTGCTATCAAGGTCCCCAGGCTCTTGTCAAAACTCTGCTTGTCTTGTCAAAACTGCTTGTGACAAAGGATGGGGACAAGGAATTGGAAAAGGATGAGCTGTGGGTGGGCAGTGCATCTGCACTACTTGGTCCTGCTCCTTGCCCCTTAGCTGCCTTAAGCCATCACAAAAAGCTCTGATTCTTTTGCTGTGGACCCTTGTGGCTTGGGATCCCTCCTGGTTCATGAGAGTCATCAAAGAGATGACAAATAGCTGAAAAGCAACCACATTCCCTGGGGCGCACCAGACACCCAAGTAGGAGCAGTGGAGACCCACCTGACTGCTGGTGAGCCACAAGGATCAAGAACCCAAGTGTGTAACTTGACACTCCTGAAAGGTCAAAAGCAGCAGCCAGGGTAGATGGTCACTGCAACAACTCAGCTCAGAGGGATGTGGGATTTTCTAAGAGGTTTTAAACAAGAAGGACACCATCTCTGCCCTACTGCCCCAGGGTAAGCTGGTGTTGCTGGGGGTTTAGGCAGCACCAGTGCCACTACACTGATGCTTCCCCATGTTGAAGGCAACCCTGCCTGCAGCTTTCTGGATATCCTCAGTCCCCTGGACCTCCTCTAACCACACAGTCCCTAATGGGTGGTGCTTCTCTCTCCACAGGAGGCTACCCTGCATGCATCTCTTCCACCAAGTGTGCGTGGACCGGTGGCTGGCCACCAGCAAGAAGTGCCCCATCTGCAGGGTGGACATTGAAACACAGCTCGGCTTGGACAGCTGAAAGGACTGGCTGGACACACCATTTTCCTTATCAGGTCATATGGCCATAAACCCTTGCAGCAAAATTTTTGCCTTCTGAGCCATTTGATTGAGAGGAAAAGTCTGCAGGCATGTTAGCGAGGAGGAGGAGGTGGCAGTACAATATCTAGTGGTAGGAGATATTGCACATACACAGGATATGGCCACGGTGAAAGGGAGCTGGCATTCCCAGAGCTCAGAGACCCCATGCTGCAGAAGATTTAGTGTTGAACATGAAGGAACTAGTTGTGGTAGTCTGGCCTGTCAATCCTGCATTTCATGAGGATTGTATATATACCTCTCGAATACGTACATGTTATAGGGGTCCTTTAGCTATTTCTATGGATGGCAGCTGGAGCATTTTAGCTTAAGAAATGTTGTGTTTGATGCCCTACTCATCTTGTGGTGGACATGTTGCTGTTACCTAATTTACAACAAATATTTTTTTCATAGATTCCTTATTTTGGTGCCTGATTAATATATTGCAGAGGGGAAATGAGAAGGTCAAGTTTTCCCACCCTTGGGGGGAAGAGGCGAAAAAGCAAAATCCTGTTTACAGTCAGAAGGGTTGCGCTCTTTGCCTCAGGCATGTGTGCTTCCTTTCCTTGCATTTACAGTGTTGCAAATTTAGAGACGCTTGCAAAATAAAAGAAAATTGGGAATGAAATGAATGAAGCAACAAGAAGAGGCTTCCCTATAAGCTTCCTGCTTTTCTGCTGGTGCTGGATGCTTTCTGGAGGGGCACAATATTGAGGTGGATGCTGTTTCTTTGCTTTCCGTATCTTAACAAAGTAGCTTGTGTCATGGTTCCACCCGAGTGGGCAGCCGAGCTCCACCACAGCCGCTCTCTCACTCCCCCTCCTCAAAGAGGAACGGGGAGAAAATACGATGAAAAGGGCTCAAAGGTTGAGACAAGGATGAGAAAATCACGCTGTAATTATTGTAATGGGCAAAACAGACTCTGCATAGGGAGATAGTAAGATTTATTGCTTATTACTAACAAGCTAGAGAAGTGAGAAACAAAGGAAAGAAACCAAAAGCACCTTCCCCCCCATCCACCCTCTTCCACCTCCTCCCCCCGAGCGGCGCAGGGGAACGGGGGAATGGGGTTTATGGTCAGTCTACAGCGCTTCTTCTCTGCCACTCCTTCTCGGTCACTCTCATCCCCTGTGCTGTGGGGTCCCACCCACGGGACGCAGTCCTTGATGAACTGATCCAGTGTGGGCTTCCCACAGGCAGCAGCTCTTCCAGAGCTGCTCCAGATATGGGTCCGTACCACAGAGGCGCAAAACAACATTGCTTATTGGCTCGGCTCTGGTCAGCAGCGGGGTCCTTACCTAACATGGGGCAGCTTCTAGATGCTTCTCACAGAAACCACCCCTATGGCCCCCTGCTACCAAAACCTTGCCACATAAACCCACTACAGCTTGGCATGCCAAAATCCAAGGCAGGCCATGGGCTGACTCTGTGCTTGCCATCTTCCATACTGCTTTCTCCCGTGAGCCAGAGGTTGGTTGGCTTCAGCATGCCGTGTCATGGCCCCCCTGGGGTTAGACACCTCCAAGACTCTTTGCTGGTCCAAAATGCTGGTTATGGAGTTGGCTTCTGTAACTGTGCTTTGGGGTGTAATTGCTCAGAAATAAGAAAAGGAAGCTCCAACAGGACAAAACCCAGTACCGGATGATTTGGGGAGATTGCTAATGCTGTGGCTGGGCTGGGATAGAGCAGCAGCCAAGCTGCCCTGCTCCTGTTCCCCATCCCAACTCACAGAAGAAGGGGAGCAGGGCCTTTTTATCACACACAGTCACCCTGCTTCACCACCTCCCTGGTGAGAAATCACAGCGTAGATTAAGCAGACATACAACAACACAGGTGGAAGCCTTTCTTTCTTTTTCATTTTTTTTTTTCCTTAATACACTTGGGCTCACAGGCTGCGGGGTCAAATCTCTTGGAGCAGAGATTGCAGAGATCCCTCTCTGATAATGGGACAGGAGGAATCGTTGCTCATGAGGAATCACCAGTGCCATGGGTGTTTCAGTGCAGGAGGGGAATGCCAGTTCTTGAGAGTTTGCTGCCTTCTGGAAGGGCTGGGTTTAGCCCTGTGCCAGAGCACTGTTATACACATATGTATTTCACTCCATATCCATATGGAAAAATAGGTGATTATTAAAACGAAACCTAATTTACCAGTCTCCATTACAAAAATGCACAAAACTACATCAGGAGGCAGTTCTTGAAGGCGTGGACCATTTTGATCCAAGCTTCCCCTGAAATAAAGACATCAGCTGCAGGGACCCAGATTAAAACCCTTTGGTGAACAGGCATTCACAACAAAAAAGATTTTTTTTTTTAAGACTTTTTTTTTTTTTTTGTAACTAGGGAAACAAAAGAGAGATGCGGAGGAGCCAGGGGAATGAATTCTGAACTTTATATATTTATAATGCAGATGTGGTGGAGCTGAATTGTGGCTTCCCCAAGCACCCATTCTGCTGGAGCCAAGCGATGCTCTCCATGTAGAAATGATCATAAATTGCTATCTGGTAGATTTCAGGATTCCCATGAGCTGTAACAGGAAAACACTGACCCTGAAGGACTCGCAGAGATTATTAATATTTTTATTTTTGCCAACCTGGAGAAGAGAGTGACAGAGGGGGTGTGGGGCTGCAGGAGACTTTCTCCCCTCTCACTGTGCCTGAGCGGAGGAGGGGGCATGGTGACATATATTTACCATGGTGACATTTATTTGCCATCTGTGAGTGATGGCTTCACAGTGGATACAGCAGTCCCAGCCCCGATGTCCAGAGCGATGTGAGCTCCTTGCAGCAAGGAGTGACCCATCGAGATGTGTTGCAGGAAGAACGGTCGAAAACACGACAGACACTTGTATGGTCAGATCATGCTCTGTTTTATTACCCGAATAGCCTGACTTTTATAGTAAACTTAACTGGGGTGGATAGTGTCTCACACAAGATAATTGGTCAAAAGCACTCAGACAAACAACTGCACGAAAACAACCCCACCTCCAAGAAAACAACCCCCTTGTGATTAGCAGTCACGTAGAACTTGTCCTTGAAGTCAGCTGCTGGCAACAATATTTTTCTAAATTCCTCAATCGGGTGAAGTGGGAACACTGTCATGGGAACTTCTCATAGTCGTCCTGGTAGCTTGGTTTGCTCAGCTGCAGCAAGCCATGGGATCTTTGCTGTTTCAAAAATCCCTCAACAGAGATGTATGGGACTTGCTCCAGCAGCAGCAGATTCAAGCAGAATTAAAAATAATACTAATACTACTATTTATATGTACTGCCCTCCCCTTCCGGCCCCACCTTGCCAGGTGCCCTTACAAAACAGGTTTGAGGCCCTGGAGACTGAGAGACCAGCAACTGAGGAAGAGATAGAAAGTGTTCCCAGGAGGATGCCTAGGGCGAGGAGGTCGACTCCACGCATCAGGACTGCCTCCACCAAGAAAGACAGGAGGGTGATTGTTGTGGGAGACTCTGTCCTTAGGGGAACAGAGGGCTCTATTTGTCGGCCTGACCCTACCCGTAGGGAAGTCTGCTGCCTCCCTGGGGCCAGGGTCAGGGACGTTGCCAAGAAAGTCAAGCGCCTGGTACGGCCCACTGACTACTACCCGCTACTGGTCTTTCAGGCTGGTAGCGATGAAGTAGCAAAAAGAAGTCCGGAGGCGATCAAAAGAGACTTTAGGGATTTGGGGCAACTACTTAGAGGATCAGGCGCACAGGTTGTGTGTGCCTCTGTCCTTCCGATAGGGGGGATCGAAGCTGAAAGGCGTGCTGTTCGCATAAACTCGTGGCTTCGAGACTGGTGTGACCGGCAGAACTTTGGGTTCTTTGACCACGGGAAGGTCTATGCTACGCCGGGCCTGATGGCACCGAATGGGATGGGCCTCTCTCGGAGAGGGGTAAGGATCTTTGGCCAGGAGTTGGCAGGGCTGATAGATAGGGCTTTAAACTAGAGTCGAAGGGGGAAGGGGCTAAAACCAGGCACGCCGGTGAAGACCTAAGTACGCTAGAATCAGAGGGGCTGTGTGCCAGTGAGGTCCTTCGGTTAGATCCACAAGGTGCTGAGTGTAAGGAGACGCACCTGAAGTGCTTCTACACGAATGCACGCAGTATGAGGAATAAAATGGATGAGCTAGAAGTCCTGGCCCAGTCCCGCAACTACGACATCATCGGCATAAGCGAAACCTGGTGGGATGAGTCCTGTGACTGGGGTGTTGCGATAGATGGTTACAGGCTCTTCAGGAGGGACAGGCAGGGTAGGCGAGGTGGTGGGGTGGCGATGTATGTGAAGCAGGGGCTGGACTGTGTGGAGCTTCAGGTCGGCGATGGCAAAGTTGAGAGCCTCTGGGTAAGGATCAAGGGACGAACGAATAAAGGGGATGTCGTTGTGGGAGTCTATTACAGACCGCCTGGACAGGACGATAGCGCCGATAAATTATTCTTTACAGAACTAAGAGAGGCCTCGAGATTAACTCCCCTTGTCCTTATGGGGGACTTCAACTTGCCAGACGTTAACTGGGAGTGCCACACGGCTGACACGAGCAAGTCCAGGAGGTTCATGAAGCACCTAGATGATAACTTCTTGGTGCAGGTGCTAACGGAGCCAACTAGGAAAGGCGCTCTCCTTGACCTGTTGCTGGAAAACAGAGAGGGTCTGGTGGGAGATGTGGTGATTGGTGGCCGCCTCGGTCATAGCGACCATGAAGTGGTTGAGTTCAAAATTTACGGTGACAGAAGGAAAAGTGCCACCAAAACCTCATCCCTAGATATGGGGAAGGCGGACTTCAGGCTGCTCAGGGAACTAGTCAGCAAGGTCCCCTGGGAAGCTGCTCTTGAAGGCCTTGATGTCCAACAGTGCTGGTCACTCTTTAAGCGATGCCTCCTAGAAGCACAAGATCAGGCAATTCCTAAATACCGCAAGTTAGGCAGGAGCGGCAGGAGGCCGGCGTGGCTGACCAGGAACATTCTGATGGAGATTAGGCGGAAACAGAGAGTGTTTCGCTACTGGAAGGAGGGCCAGGTGACATGGAAAGAATACAGGGATGCTGTTCGTGTTTGTAGGAAGAAAATTCGTGTGGCTAAAGCACACCTAGAGTTGAAGCTGGCTGTGTCTGTGAGAGAAAATAAAAAGGGTTTTTTTAGATATGTGAATGGAAAAAGGAGAACTAAAGAATACATAGGGCCGCTCCTTGATAGGGAAGGTCTTCTCACAGACGATGACATAGGCAAAGCAGAGACGCTTAACGCCTTCTTTGCCTCTGTCTTCAATGCCGATGATGGGCTTCGGGACCCAGCATGCCCTGAGCTGGAGGACCGGGACGGTGGGGATGACAAACTCCCAACCGACCCTGAACGTGTGCGGGATTTGCTACTCCACCTGGATCCCTACAAGTCCATGGGTCCGGATGGGATTCATCCCCGGGTGCTGAAAGAGCTGGCGGACGTCATCGCGGAACCTCTCTCAATTATTTTTCAACGATCCTGGGAGTCTGGAGAGGTCCCGGTAGACTGGAAGCTGGCAAATGTTGTGCCGATTTTCAAGAAGGGTCAGAAAGAAGACCCTAGCAATTACAGGCCTGTCAGTCTCACGTCAGTGCCTGGTAAAATCATGGAGAAGATGGTTCTCAAACTTATTGAGGCGCACCTAGGGGACAAAGCAGTCATTGGTCCCAGCCAGCATGGGTTTGTGAAGGGTAGGTCCTGCCTAACTAACCTTATTTCCTTTTATGATAAGATCACCCGTATGGTGGACCAAGGGAAACCAGCTGATGTGATTTTTTTGGACTTCAGCAAGGCTTTTGACACGGTTTCCCATAGGATCCTACTGGACAAAATGTCCACCATACAGCTAAATAAAAACATCATACGATGGGTGAGCAATCGGCTAACGGGCAGGGCCCAAAGGGTCATGGTGAA